TATTACTATGAAATGGAGGATTGAAAGACTAAACAATTTACAAGAAAATGAAGATTTCAAATGCAATGTAAGTCATGAAATTATCCCAGACTCCATGAATAAAGTTGCGTTAGAAATTCCACATTTTTGTATGTCTGCTTCTTTCGTTCAAAAGTTTGGAAGAATGAACCAACCATTTTCTCCTTTTGATTGATCAAGTAATTGTGCCTACCTTCGTCATATTAATTTGAGGACTTGGCGCTTATTATTTGTAGGGTTTCAAGAATTGGTTTCCTGAATGGTATTTTTATTCCAATGCTATATAACGTTTTTTGCTTGTGCAGCTTGATGACATGCTATACGAAATCGAAGCTAAGACCGAAATTTGGATGATTGCCGGTAGGAAAAGAGGGCATGTTTCTCTCTCTCCCACGCAAGGTTTGTTTACCATCTTTCACACAAGAAATTGAGACGATAAGTGACCCGATGCCTATTCTATTAGAAGAAAAAGATTAAATTCTCATTCTGCTGTCATTTTCATTATGCTTTTTCCATGACAGGATCAAGAATGGTGATCTCTATATTATGCATGCCACTGGTGGCTGGCTACGTTCGTCCACCTAAACTTGGTTTGCCAAATATCGACGAGGCAAACATAAGTTGCAATCCTGCTGCTCCACACCTGGTTTGTGTTTTACCTCCAGTACTCAGCTCCTCATTCTGCATGCCAGCATGATTGTTCTTCGTCGTCGTCATAGGTGATTATAGTTTTCCACTCCGAAATTTCGGAAAAGGATTCATTCAATTAGATTCGTAAAGATTAAAACTAGGTGTCACTACTTGAATCTCTCTAAAATCCCCCCCAGGTCAAAGATTTTTGGTCATCTGGAGAGTTGGATTCTTGCGGGTTAGATACTTTGGTAGTTTTAGCAGTTAAGTTCGACGAGCCTCGCCCAGTGTACAGTACAGTTTAGTGTAACGATGCATCCTTCTACGAGTATAGAGGCCAAGTATAGAAACACCTTTAAAGAATTATGTTTGTGTTTGTTTATAGGTGGCTTATTTGGGTAAACTCAAATTACTGTTGGTGTTTTACCCCAAAGAATTATAACCATCTGAGTGTACAGTGTATTGATGTTTTTGACTTGCCATGTAGTATTTTGATAATTGTAATTTTTCCCTTGTTTATAATTTGATACCTCCATTTAAACTTTTTTTTTTTTTCATTTTTAAATTCCCTCTGACCCACCAAGCCAAAGTATTATTATTAACTTTAGTTATTTATTATTACAGTATTATCAAAGATTTACGTGAAAAAACCACATGTAACGAAACAGGGCCATATGCATTGAATTTTGAATCTTCAATTTGAAAAAATTAACGCCTTGGAATGGACCACTTGTTTTTTCAATAAATAATTTTACTGGCTTACAAAAACTAAATTATACTTAATTTAAACATAAATGAGCGAATATAAGTAATTTATTGTTGAAAGTTCAGTCTCTCACTCCTACAATAATTAATTTTAAAAAAAAATGTAAAATTATATTCTAGTCACAGACTCACATTTGCATGACATCCCGTATTTACCCTTTGTAACTTTTGTTTAATGTTCCTTCTTAAACTTAATTGTTAATTTGAAGGCTAGAGGGTAGTTTGAGGAGCTATTTTCAAATGTAGAATTTTATTTTTGAAATAGAAAATAGTAAAAATCAAAATTTGGAAATTCTAAAAGTAGTTTTTGTTTTTTAAATTTAGCCAAGTATTCAAATGTTTTTTTATGTTTTTTAAGAAATGTGAAAAATACACCAAAAAAATTGTGAGGACGCAAGCATAGTTTTAAAAATAAAATAATTATTAAATGGAACCTTAATTTTTAAAGCGGTTGAAGACCAAGAGTTTGTAAATTGTGGTTTCTAAGAACACAATAGCACTTTTCAAAACTAAAGTAAATTTTTTTTTTCTCTAAAAAATGGTCCTCTCTTAAATTAAAATAAACCACAACGGTCATTTTGTTGTCTTTGAAATAATTTAATGGGTGGAGCTCAAGCCTATTTTCCCAATGAAAACAATTATTAAAGTAGATTTACCTAAATATTAATTGAAAATGTATGCTTGTGCAACTCATCTATGTCATATTGTCAACAGAAATAGGGACCAATCCCATCCAGGAAAAAAAGATATATATTTTGGACATTTGACATTAAATATTATGAAAATAACAATCTCCTTCATGATTTTTAATCTCTCCAACTTTGTCTATGAATTTCTTTGCACCTTATGATATTAATTGCATTGAAAATTACCTTTCGTTTTGGAGCGTTTTATATATTTTTCTGTGGGAAAATTCAAAATCCAAAATATAATATGATATATGAACTGAAAAAAATAAAAATAAAGTAAAGGTCCCACCGAGATTTGAACTCGGGTTACTGGATTCAGAGTCCAATGTCCTAACCACTAGACCATGGGACCTTGTTGAAATTTTGATTCTATTTTTGTTAGGAAATTAATTACACACAAGGGAATCATTCGAATCCGACGGTCAGAAAATTTTCTTAATCACATCTTTTTTTCTTTCTTTTTTTAAAACATTTCTTAATCACAGTTCTTTATTACAATTTCATTTTATAATATACAGAACTAGACTCCTTATATTGAGATTTTCATTAGTGAAGCATGGTTTTGCGCTAAATTATAACATGTAAATGAATCAATTTTTCCATTCAAAAAGAAAAAAAAAACAATCATAAATTTAATTAGTCAAATGATGAGAAAATGAAATCATTTTCTCTCATTTTTGGTTGGTATTTACTACAACTCAATAGTGATTCTTGATTTGTAAGTTTTCGTACTAAATCATAAATCTTACTGAATAAAACTTGTGTGTTTATCATTATCCTACTAAAAAATTGACAGTTAGTTCAGGGACGGTAATAGTAAGCATCTGAGTTTTATTAATTTTATTTTACGTAGTATATTTTATACATATATATTATTTTGCGTAATTTATTTTATATATATAGTGACAGTAATGGTAAACATCTGAATTTTATTAATCTTATTTTATGTGGTTTATTTTGAGTGAATGAGATTTTCTATAAACAAAAATTTAAGAAACCTTGCATTTAATTGAAATTCATTTCCATTATATGTTTTCCCAAACAAAATCAGTAGTAACACACCATTTTTTACCAATAGAAAACCTAGATTAAAAATATTATCTTTGGTCAATACTTACCTTTGATTCATTTTGGTCTCTAAACCTTCATAATGTTCATTTTGATTTCTATGCTATTAAAAAATGACCATTTTGGTTCCTTAATTTTATTTCTAATATCATTTTTTCTATCACAATTTCAACGCGACACTATACTCAATATATTTATTAAAATGTAATAATGACTTTATATTAAATGGTTCCGTTATATGTAGAATTTATGTAAAAAAATTGAAAATAAAGACCAAAATGACAATTTATTAATGATATAGGAACCGGAATGAACATTTTGATACTATAGAGACCAAAATAAACCAAAGTTGATATAAATCGGAATAAACATTTTAAAAGTACAAGCTCAGTATAGATTAAAATATTTCAAATTTAAAAGTTGGTCTAAATACAATATTTCAAATTTATTCAATTCCATAATTTCTAATTAATGGGTCTCAATAAATAGTAAAACAACTTTCCAAACAAAGCATAACACCAACCGAAAAGATGAGTTTCATCCAAAATAAGAGAATCCAATTCTAAAATGACCATTTTATTCCTTCAAATCCTAAACCAAGTGCAAAATTTGTAAAATCAAAAGATGTTAGAGAGGTTTTACGCATCTAAAATAGAATTCAAGAACAATAATATTTAAAAGTGAGTGCTATTGAAAAATAAAAAATGCATCAATAGAATCAGATCCTACTCCACAATCAGTCCTAAAATAAATCACGGTTTTAAAACTGTTTTGATAACCTTAAACTTCGTTTACTGCAAGGTGATGGTAATCAAAGTAGGGGAATGAAAATTTTCGCTCCCATGTATATATATTTTTTTAACGAAACAGAATTGTCTTCTATAAAATGGTAAGATAAAAGAAAATTATTAAACTTTGTCTTTCAAAAATTCATATCTAAGATTTATTTTTTTGAAATATGAAAAATAGATTATTTATGTTATCTTATCCTTTCTTGATATTTGAAAAAGAAAAATCCCACCAAATAAATGAATTAATATATGGATGGAAATTGAATTATGGGACCCAACTCATTTCCACTCACCATTCCATATTTCACTCTCAAAATTCTTTGATAGTGATTTGACAATAGACCCCATGCATCTCTCACTCATTTTCTCCCCCACATTAATTTATATAATATATATTTTTTATATATCATTCTATAAATATCAACTTCTTTATACCTACCTTTCCCTTCCTATTTATTATTTTCTTTTTTTAATGATTTACATTTTAGTTGTCTTTAATTGACCACTTACCATCAATTTTTTCGAAGCATAAGATTTGGAGAAAAAAAAAATTGTAAAGAGTATTTTTCACAAGTATCAATTTTCTCTAACTCAATCAATCAGTTTTATGAAAATTTAATTTATTAGATTGAGAATTCTTCAAATAAAATGTTTTAAGAATTATGATAGGATGATCTAGAAAGACTAATGTTATCCTACGCTAAAAATCATTATTTTCAAAATCCATAATTTTTATAAGAAATTTTCTAAAAAAAAATTCCAAATTAATGATAAACGAAGGCTTTTGGAACATTTTTTCATTGAATTTTTGTTCTTAGCCATAGAAAATGATTGTGCAAAGAAAAATTATGATTATTTGAACTATGTAACAAACGGTTTCAATTAATATCCTGAATTAATTATAAACCTAGGCCATCTACGTTATATGATTCCAGACAATTGGTGGAGCCATCCCAAAAACAGGAAAAGACATAAATACCCACACTCACAAAAATTACATTTTCTATTTTCTTTCACTCAACACAAAATTAAATCCCAAGAGCAAAAAAGCAAAAATAAACAAATAAAACATTAGCATAATTATGTATCTTATTTCATGTATATTTTTCCATTGGCTCTTCTGGGTCTGCTTCGCCTACCCAGATGCTACATCCTATTAATTCTTTTTTTCTTTTTTTTTAGCATAATCTTATATAATTAAAATTAGAGGATTTTTTTTTCTCTACTTAAAAGCTGACGTAGGCAATGAGTCACTGTCACGTCAGCATCTCCAGTCCAGTCGGACCTCCCCGGACCCCACAGAGTGATGACGTGGCTTGGTGAAGGACACAATGTGGCTGCTGACCATGTAGGCCGTTACGCCCTCGGAGACTCTTATGTCTTCCATCTTCAATTCTTGCAACCTCCTCACGTACTCCGGCACGTGCAGTAGGTCCCACACGACCCCGGTCCCGCCGGGCTTCAACACCCTCACCAATTCTCCGACCACCCGCATCCTCTCCGCCGCCGCCTCTACCGTGCGCGGCCCGTGCTCCTTCCCGACCGTGTGCACGAACACGCCGGACACCACCACGTCGAAGTAGTTGTCCCCGAACGGCAACCGCCTCGCATCGCCCTCCCGACATGTGACATACTCACCCACGCCCTCCATCTTCGCCGTCCGGAGCGTCGACAAGGTTGTCCGTTTGCTCTTGTCCAACCCAACAACCCGACCCGAACTCCCCTCCTATCAAAAATATAAATAAAATATTAAATTTACCATAGTAACTTCTGGTTGGTTAGTAATTAAACATGGTATTCTGACTAGAGCCTTATGCTCAAATCCGAATTTCATTATTTTCTCTCAAAATAATACTACTAACCTTCCAACGCAACGTATTTTTACTGATAGTTAAACAGTAAAACAAACTTCAACTCACCACTATTATCACTTCTTCAGTTAAATATTAAATTTATCTTGACCTATCGGTTTAAGCTTTTACCTTCTTGAGTTGGGTGGCTACGGCGTTTAACAGAATGCCACGGCCGCAGCCGAGATCGAGGGCGTGTTTCACGGTTGACCAATCGTGGACGGCGTTGACCATGCGGAGGGCCATCTCGTAGCGTAGGGGGAGGGAGGAGTAGAAGATGTTGGCGGCGGCGAAGAAGAGGCAGAAGGCGGAGAGGGCGGTGACGCAGCCGGTGAACCCGGCGGCGAAACGGGCGGAGCCGGCGGAGAAGAGGAGGTGGAAGAAAGAGCAGATTGGTTCGAAGTAAGTGAGGTAAAAAACAGAGAGAGCAGTGAAAAACACAGCATGAAGGACAAGAAACGCTATGGTCTGCCATTGATCCACGCCGTAGATCGCGTAGATCTGAGTCCAATCCCTCGCCGTTTTCCCCATTTTCTTCAAATTCAACCCTAAAACCCACAATGCCACAGAACAAAACAAAATCGAGATCCAAAACACAAATTAAATCTCAGACGCAGCACACAGCAGCAGAAATCGAAACTTACTCGGAGCAATCGAGAGTCGGAATCGGCGATTCTCTCAGAAAAATCGGGGAAAACCAGAGGATTATGAACTCGAAAGTACGATTTGAACAGGAGGGGGATTTCAGAAGGAGAGTACGGAAGAATCCGCCATTAACGACGAGGAGAGAAGAAGGGGAATCTGGAAATGATTAATAAATCAATCAGAAAAGAAATGGACGCGGTTTCGTCAGATGGGGTCTGCTTTTCTGAACATTTTAATTAAAGAAAAAAAGGGAAACGCTGAGAATTTTGATGAACCCGACAGCTGAAAATTCTCACTCACAGTTTGAAGGAAGGCGATATAAAGCAGAGGTGACTGAGAGGAAGGGGGCGACCGGGTAACCGGCTCAGCCGGTGACCGGAATTTTTCAAGAGGGTTGTACGAAAAGTCCAAGGGTTATATTTTCAAAATTGGAAAATTAAATTAAAAAAAATGAAGAAAAGAAAAAATTGGCGGTTCTTCGACTAATGGATAAGAATTCTGATAGGACTGCACGGAAATTTGTATTGTTTTTGTTTTGTAATAAGTCAAAATAAGTTTAAAATTCACCAATCCTCTTTTTTTTTTTCCTTTCTTCTTCTTGTTTTCAAACTATTTTTTTAAAATAATAATAATTATAATAATTTTCAAGGGGAGTAGATATGATAATTAGACATATTTTAATTGCATTTTACACCCACCTTGTACGTATTTTTATCTACGTAAGCCTGAAAAATAGTTTTTTGAAGAAATTTCTTTTCGAACTTTACTGTGCAAACAATTTTAACAGCTTGTTTTAAGATGAAAATACTTTCTACTTTTTTTGCCTCGTTTTTTTGGTAAAACAATTTCACTTGTTTTCATTTTTAAATAAATAAAAATAGATGAAGTTGTTAATAACCTCCATAAACGTTGAAGGTTCCAATTTCTACTCTTGTTGTACTAGAAAAATAGTTCGTATTTATCGAAAGTGGAGCTTACTTTCCGTTTTCAATTTTTTTTTAGTTTCAATAATTGTAAAGGTAAGGAATTTAATCATCAGCATTACTAATAGTAATAAGTATAGTATTTTATGTGTTATGCTTAGGTCAAATTTTATCCCCCAAACTTGTTGCCCTAGCAAAAAAAAAAAAAAAAAAAAAGAATTAATCCTCTAAAATAAGCCAACAGTCTTACCCTATCATTTTACACTTTTTTTTATTGTTGTTGAATTTTTCTTTAATTGAGACTAAAATTATAATTTTTATTGTTGGACATTTGTTAATTCGTGATATTATAATATATTCTTGTTATGAAATAGTCATGAAAATTTTATTATTATTTTTTAAAAGAAATTGTCAACTTATAAAAATTAATCAAATGAAATTCAAGAATGATGTTCATCTATCAAATCAATTTCATTGCGCAACAAAAATAATGCACATAATTACTTAGATTACAAGATTTTAAAAAAAAAAAAGATGAAAGAAAGAAAAAGAATCCAACAATGATTATTTTTAATTATTACTCTTATTTTCAAATTTAATTAGGTATGGTCTTTTGAAAAAGCACAATTAATAATTCTTAAATCTTGACCATCACATTTGGTTTTGATTGTTCTAATTCATTTAAAAGAAATGCACGGTTTTGTTTGTCTTTTAAATTTTCTAAGTGTTTCTATTTTTAATTATTTCAATCCTTGTTTGTTTTACCTCAAATCAATTTCAAAATTTATGAAGTTTTTACCAAATAATTTCTTTCGAGTAAGGTTTAAAGAATAAAATAGATATTCAAAAAGTTCAAGAACAATTCTTAACTGATTAGTTTCGATGGTCTCATAATGTTAATATGGATATTAGAAAAAAAAAATGATCTATATATTTATTCCTCGTTAAATTTAGCATAATTCAACAACGAGTATGATGTGAACCATTGAGATTCATAAATTAAAGTACATAGAATAAATTTAAAAATAAAAAAGTGTGAACTTCACAACAAATATTCAAATCCACAATTTCTTTCTCTTTTTTAATCATGTCTTAAAATTTTGAATTATATTTCAATTTCATTCATATTGACAACACTATCAATAAAATGACAATGTGGTAAGAGGAGTATAACTTAATAATAAATACATTCACTATTTTCTTTAAAATTAGAGATTTCCGAAAACTATTGGATAAAATTAAAGAGCATCTTGTTTTGTTCATAGGATGACTCAAAATGATCTATATTTTTTTTTAATTATTGAACAAATAAAAAATGGCTTAGGGAAACTTTGTTTAAAGATAGCGTAAATCATGGGTGTGAGACCCATGTGATGGAGGTACAAATGGGCCCCATTAGATTTTATTTAATTTTATTTCTTTTTTCAGTTCATTGTAGATTTCTTGTTATTGAAAGCAAAGTTATAGGCAATGTCCAAAAAAAAAAGGTAAGATTTTGAACTCAAAATTTAATTCCATGCTTTGCCTAATTGCTCCCTTGTCATTATGCTCCAAGTCAATGTTTCTCTTACACATTTTTTTTTTCATTTTTCCTCTTCTAAGCGATGTATTTCTCCGTTATACCCCGACTTTTGTTTACTCTATTATATGTAATTTGTCCTAAAGTTTTCAAGGATAGTTTTGTAATTTCTTATTTTTGCTTTTCCTTATTGAATCTCTAACATACTCAAATTTGGGTTTAAAACTAAGTTCAATCATATTTTTTTAATCCTCGTAGTTTAATTTATGCTCCCATCGATCTCTATAGTTTTAAAAGTATAGTTTATCGAAAATATAAAATTTGAGTAATCTAGAAAAGAAATACATTGAAGTAACAAGATTGATTACTGGATGTTGGAGTAATAGAAACTAATTAGATGTTTTAGTCATAGTCGTAGGATATAATTTTATGACTAATTTGCAATTGAATTCAAAAAAAAAAAAAGAACAACAAAATGTTTGACAAGCTCTAAAATTGAATAAATTCTTTTTAATACAGTGGTGGGGGATTCGAACTCATGACTAAGAACAAATTGAATCAATATTAAGTTATTTGATTATTAATCAAAATAATATCATGAAGTCTAATTCAAACTGATGTGATTTTTACTTGATCTAACGAAATCTTATCATTGAAATAAAATGTCACATTTTAAAACGTTACACATATCTACAAATAATTTATTATCTTGAGTTTTTATTACCTTCATTTATAATATATACACTCTGTGAATTTTATCGTGTGAAATTTATCTAAAAAAAATTAGATTATAATAAAAATATCATAAAACTTTAAAGAAAAGTGTGTTTTCATTACAGTGTGGGGCTCCCTACAAACAAATTTAAGTGATGTCATAAAATATATATATATATTTTAATGTAAAGAAGATTCCCACTTTCCATGAAAGGTTGAATTGTCTCTTCCAATTTACCAAATTGCTCAAAAGCATAACCTACTTGCTTTAGATTAATTTATACCAAAATTAGTGCTAAATCAATCAAACCAATATGGATTAAAAATTAAAAATCAAATCAACTAACCCAATAAAAATCTATCTTAATTTTCTATCTTTGAACCTACAAACAACCGAATCAATCTAATTTTATCTATTCTATTAACTTCAAATACGAATAGTTTGTAATAGAGAAGCATCTCTTTCTAACCTTACAAAATATTTTAAATAACTTTTACTCATAATCATATTTTTAAATTAAGATTAAATATTAATTTAGTCTTAAAATTTGAACTTAGCGATATTCTAGAAATTTCTCTTTCTTATACTAAAAGTTTCATAAATAATTTTCATTTAACAATAACATATGTTTTTTAAATAAAATAAAATTAACCATTTAGTCCGCAAAATCTTAGCTGAGTGATTTTACAAGTTTTGATTTGGTCCTTGTGGTATTTTGTTGACATCATCATACTAAATACTAGACACAGAACATTTGTTTTAATACATGGTGATGATCTCGTATTTTAGATTTGACTAAATACGTTAACTGTCTATATTGATATTAAGAGATGAGATAAACTACATAAAAAAAAGTTAAATGGATAAAAAATAGTCAATACCAAGGTTTAAAATGTAGATGTCGATGGAAATGTTGAAGTCTCAATTTCATGGAAATATCGATAAAATGTCTATGTCGATGGATATTTCTCTAAAAGTTAGAAAAATTAAAAAATCGTAAAAAATATTTAAATTAACAAATAAACATTTTCTTATTTCTAAATGAGTTAAAAATAATTAATATTAATATTATATAAATATATACGTGTGTGTGAGAGGCATTTTATTGATATTTTCCGTATTTTATCGATTTTCTTGTACTATGATAGAAATGTCGATTCACCACTTATGTCGATGTCGAACTTATAGAAACATGGATATGTTGATGAAAATATCGACGTATCGACAGATATTTAGAACTATGATCAATACCAATTGTGAGATTAAACTAAATCGAGAAGATGAAATTGAAACTACTAAAATTAACGAGATTATAAGAAAAAATATTTTATTATTTTTGTTCCGAAGAGAAATGGGATACAGCATAGAGCTTGAAAGAATCAAATTCGAAGTCTTTGTTTTTTCAAAGAAGGTGTGGGTCCCACTTTTACTGACCAAGCGGATCCGTCCGATTCTAACTTTTGGTGGACCAATTAAAATACACCGACTTACCACGTCGTTTTAAAATTTAAATTTAAACTTAATAATTTATTTTTAAAACAAGGTCAATTTTTCATATAATATAATATCTTGCAATCCGCCGCCACGTGGAGGTAGCCAATTCTAATTTTGTCAATTTTCAATATTTCAAGTTTATGAACACCTCTATACATATATATATATATAACAACAATGCTTTGAAATTACGCCACAACTATTGATATATTTGATTGTCCCGAGAAGAAGAAAATAAGTAATATATTTTGAATTTGATCAAAATCATTCTGAGTTCACTCAAGTTTTGGAAAGTGATATTTTGTAATTAATGAAGGCATTGGAACTTTAATATATATTGTAGGTTAAAAGAACTAATTATTGTAATATCGTTAAAGTAGTGATTCGATCATTTAAATTTTAGTCTGTGACGAATTAGTTATTGTACTTTCAAATGGATAATGGTTTGATTTTTGAACTTTAATATGTAATAACGTAGTCTTAGTAATTTGTAACGGTTTAGTTCCTATTGTGAAAAATGTTGTTAAAATTTAATAGAGTTTCTTATATATATAAATCATTATATAATAAAAATCAACACTTAATTTTGATGAAAGGTTTTTACGGTATGGGCTAAATTGTCGTAAATTTTAAACTATAGAGACTACATTGTTGCATAGAAGTTTAGGGATTAAATTGTTACTAATGGAGAATACATGAACTAAATCGTTACAAGTTAATATTCAACGACTAACTTGTTATGTCAGTGAAAGTACAGAGAACAAAAATGTTTTTTTAATCTATATTATATTATATACACTTTAGAATGAAGATATAATGTCTAGAAAAAAATTGTCTATTTGTCATATGTTTGTGTATGGTACAAATAACAGATATAGAGAACCTGTTCGATAACGTTTTCGTTTCTTGTTTCTCATTTTTAATTTTATTAAGCAATCTAAGCATTTGACAACTACTTATGTTTATTGTTTATGATTTTTTTTTGAAACATTCCTAAAATTGTATAGAATTTTTGGAAACAACAAAAAATAAGTTTATTGTTTATTTTTCCCATTTCCAATTTGTTCTAACATAAATAAAGATCTTACTTCATCGGTATTTAGAGCTATGCAGTTCTATTTTTATTTATTAAATAAAGAAATAGAAACAAAAAACGAGAATATTACCAAATGGGCCCTTAAGCTTTCATTCGATAACCATTTCGTTTATGATATTATGTTTGCTCCCTCACAATCTGCCCGAGTTACATTTTTAGAAAAAAAAAAGTAGATAATAAAATAAATATTATAAACTTAATTTTAAAAACAAAAAAACCAAAAATAAAATGGGTATCAAACCCAACTTAAATAATCTCAATGCCATCTCTATCAAATTAGATTTGTTGGTTGCATTTATCAATAAACAAATGTTAATTAATTAGTACTCTTTATTACTTTGTAGTTTTTCTGGATGAGATTATTAATGTTGCTCGTAATTAAAAATATTTATGTAGCTGGTAATAAAGTGAATGAATTATGCACTTTTTTAGTACATGAATTATGCAATTTTTTTTTTGTTGACATATATGAATTATGCATCTTCATCATTATGATAACCCAAAGATAATAATAAATATAGACGGCCATTATTACTTTTTTTCTTTTTGTATGCCCATGGTCCCACACTTAAGCTCTTACATTCTTTTCAAAATAATTATAATAATAAATAAACAAATAAAATAATTTTTTTAACGAACATTTCAAAAATTGAATACCTTAATGAATTGAGTTAGGTTCAGATCGACAAATATTTTAATAATTATTGAAACAAGCTGGTGCAAATAAAATATTGAATGATAGCTAAATTTCATTTAAAAGAGCTACTGAAGTTCAAATTAAAATTTCTAGGAACGATATAGAAAAAATTTTCTGATATTATCTAAAAATTATCGTGGAAACTTTCTTTCATCAAGAAAAAATTTGAGAAATTAACGATAGAAAAGTTGGTATCATGAAATAAAAATTAGTGATAAATTAAGACTTGGTTTCATGAATAGTTACATTATCCATCAATCTTATAATATTCATATAAGAAAGAAGTGATTTCAACCAACAAAGAAAAATCCCATCTTTGAACCAACAAGAATCAAAGCCTAATTTCCCTATTAAATACAGATTATTATTAATGTTTAATGTTTAATGTTTAATTTGACAAGTTTTGGGTTTAGTTGGAAGAAATGAGTCATTTTTTAAAGTATTATTAGGGGAAAATACATGTTCTCTCTGTGGGTTTTGCATCTCACAAAGTCAACAAAGGCATTAAATTTTTGCCTTGAGCAACTAGATCTACCTAACCCATTAAAGATTATACATCTAAGACCATGTTTATTAAAACAATCATACTTTTCAAACTTTCCCTCGCCATATATATTTAAATACTATTTTGGTCCCTAAAGTTTCAGATTCGTTTTTAATGGTGTAATTTCAAAATATACATTTTGGTCCCTGTATACTCAAATTTTGTTCATTTCAGTCTATATACTTTTAAAACGTCTGTTTTGATTGTTCTTCTTTTAAAAAAGTAACTATTTCCGTCCTTCGCAAAACTTTACTACAAATTCTATATCCAACAGAAGTACTTTAATACAAAATTATGACTACATTTTCAAGAAATTTATTTAGTGTAGAGTTATGTTGAAATTGTGATTAAAGAAAATATGAGATAAAAAAAGAAACGGTTACTTTGGACCATGACAAATGTTCAAAAAATATCAGGACTACTAACAAGGACAAAAGATCAAGGTACAAGGGGTCAAAGTAGACATTTTGAATGTACAAAGATCAAAATGCTGAGAGTCAGCAATGCGCTTCATCCAACGATTAACCCAATCCTCCAAATGAAAGAGCTATGACACAAAATTGTGAACCACAAATAAGAGCTAACGTCAACTCATTCAATGAATGTTGTTTCATTCACCAAGCGACCATTCACCACTAAAATAGCATTTAAGCCTATTTCTTTTGTGTTTTGTTGACAGTGATTCTCTTTTATAATAACAAACAGTTTTTCAGATCATATTTTGCAGAAGAGGTCAAGTTCATGATAATGCAAGATGTGGCTGTGGAATATTTGGCTTCTGGTGTGGGTTGAGAAGGATAAGAAGAAAAAAACAAAAGGAATAATGTTTATTTTTAAATTGTATGATTAGTTGGTACCAGGTCTTTGTAAAAAGTTTGAGAAGATCCTTCCAAAAGAAATGGATGTTTTTAAATAAAGAAACATGTGTTAGGAGAGTTTTGGATGAGAATCTTTCTGCTACATTTCCAAAGCATTCTGCTTTCTTTCTGTGTGTATACATGAATTATATATCAAATCAGATCTGTTCTACAAGAAAGTCATTTAGTAGAACAAATTGCCCAGAAAATTTTGATCATATCAGCAGCCAGCCCATCAGAAGTTATTCAAAAAGATTATATAAAATGGCTCTATGTGATAAGATTGTAGTAAGATGACTCAGTTTTAGTAGAAATAAGTACCTAATGGCTTTGATGCTCCTTTCTGCGGCTCTGCGCGGTCATGTGTAGCAAAGGATTTTATAGATTTGAAGAATCCCAACTGGCATAGACTGCTTCAATGATTTTCTCGTGTAAGATTGGCCCCGAGCAAACGATGATTCCCCGATCGAGGCCTTCTAAGTACACTCCCCTTGAGAAATCCAAGGGATGACCTCCAGCATCCGTTACCACACCTCCCGCTGCTTCTACGATGATAACACCAGCAGCATGGTCCCATATCTTCTCTCGGTACCCCGTCCTTGCAAACTTCATAAAAATCTCAGCATCGCCTCGAGCTATAGCAGCATACTTTACCATACTATAGACTCGCAATGGCTGCTTCCTGCCACACAGGTAGTAGAACCATGAGAGGAAGTTTTAACTACAGCCACCGGGCGGTTCGGGGTGCAGGGAGCTATATGTAATATGTTAAAGATATGAAAAGTGCCTTCTTATACTAGTAGTAATCATCTTAATGCAGTATTAAGGGGTTTAAAGCCACCTGAATAATGACAAGCATTAGAAACCATTTTGAAGTAAAGTTCTTCACATGATATGCATAAAAGCACCAAGTTTAATATGCTATAAACTGCTTTAACATGTCAAAAAGTTCATTCAAAAGTGTTTATTGATAAAAAGATTTCATTAACTTAACCTGAGTTTTGGCATAGTTCTTGTTGTATTTTAACTGAGATCTGTTATCAAGTTGTTTTTTCTAAGCATACAAGTCAAAAAAGTGAACAAGAAGATGCTGCTTCTTTTTCCTTGATTTCACCATTACATTGATGTTTCAGAAAAAACAAAAAACAAAAACAAAAACGGAACATCTCATTGCATGAATTTACTTCCTTTTTTGTTGGTTCTTGAATGTTAGATCACTAATATTTATTACTTCAAGAAAAAAAAAATTGATATCGAAAGCGCACCTAAGCCCTACACTGTGAGCCAGTCCTGCGGTGAACGAGTGATCCGAGTTCCGCTTCTCCACAGGTTCACAGAAAGTTGCAAGAGCTGGGTCATCAATTGAAGAAACATGAATCAGGCTAGCTGAATTTGGCCACTCGAGCTTCATATCGCCATGGACTAAYGGCTGCATCCACGCCCCACCGCGGCTTCGCTTCGCATATATTACACAACCTTTTTCCAAGGTATCAGAACACCGCGGTGATAACCTCGGTGTTGCAACTTTATAGTGATAATGAAAACATTCCTTCTTCAAAGGATAATTAGGACATCCCAGAACTCCAATAACTACTTTACCATCTTCCATCAAGGCCAAAGCGACAGCGTACTGATCCCCACGAACAAAACCTAACGTTCCATCAACGGGGTCGAGCACCCAATGCCTTCCTGTGGGGCCTCCAGTTGAATTGCACCGGCTTATGGCCTCAAGAATTTCAGAAGCTCCGAGTGCTTTGGCTGGACTTTGAAGACCATACTTTGGTGCTTCAGCTAGGCACTCATTAACAGTTTTCACCACAGATGACAACAGACTTCTCGATTCCGGCTTAGTAAGAGTTTGTACATCTTCTTCAGCAACGATGGATACGTTTTTGCTCCCAAAGTATTCGGAAAGTATCCAGCTAACAGTTGCTTGTACACTCCAATCTGTTAATGCAGTGAACACAGGAAAAACCGATAAATTAGACAAAGATACACATAAACAGAGTAAAATATAAGACAAGGCAGATAACATCTACTGACAGTTAAAAGAAATTCTGTTGACTTCAATGCCCGACTTGGTTAATCAACAATATATGTGTCATAAAACATTAAATCTAAATTTTTCGAATTTCATTGATCAATGGAACATGCAATGAGAGATAAGGCCTGAATAATAATAATAATAATAAATGCATAAAACAAAGAAGCATTCAACCAGTGCTATGGAAATCAGCCTTCAATAATACCAATATTCTTGACCAAGTTCCAACTCCAATGAAAATTATGAAGCTTGCTCTGTTCACATTCCTATTCATTGTAACTGCATATAATAAWAKCGACAACCTCTCCTGTTTCCATTTTTTTTAACAGTGCTGGATATAAATACATTGCCGATCACTTGGGATTCTCTACTTAAATCATGTTGCAGCATGATAAATGTAGCATCACCYTCAAAACCCCAACATTTACCACAAACGTAGATTTCATTAATACATTAATATAGAAGGCAATAAATAATTTAGAGAGAGGGATAGTGAGTGTCACTCTTCCTCATAATACATCAATATAGAAATTAATAAACAACTTATAGAGAATAAAGAAAGAAGTAAAGAACAATAACCCATGAACATTTAGTGCACAAACATACTACAGAGCACAAACCCAATAAAATTTAGGTCTTTATCCCACAAATACAAATTATAAAATCTTCAACACTTGGCCATTGGACAATGTGATGAATCATGAAACTAAATTATAAAAGCAGAGAATTATGGGGGGAGACACTAGACAACCTGCCCCCCAATTAGTGTCTCTTCTTGATCTCAGAAAGAATTGAATACATTACATATTTTACTTTCCTTTTGCTTTTTTCTCAGTAGCCAAACAAGCACAGAAACACATAACATTTATAATTTCCAGTACTCCAGCCAATAAGCAAAAGTAAAACAACAAAATCAAGAGTCGCATTTCACTATCCAATGAAACAAAAACAACACCAATCAAGAATCAGAAAAACAGAATACCGGCAATTGTCACCGGAGAATCATCGTCTTTGGCCATAACCTGGGCATTGCCGGCCGAAAGCAAACCCTCCTGAACTCTCCGGCACAGAGCACAGGCCAAGTGAACAACTCGAACAGCCATATCCAATTCCTTCGAGTACTCTCCGTCCTCCATTGCCAAATACCCACCAAATTCCCGCAAAACCCAGATGATAAAACAGTGATTCCTGAAAAACCCAACACGGGGCGAGCCAGAATCAGGGGCCGAGCATCATAACGATCGAAAACGTTGAGGCGTTTGGGGCGGGCATCGGGTTCGCGGGCGAATGGCATGTAATGGGAATAGGAATGGGGCTAATTTGGGTTACTGTTGTGGAAAAAGTATCTGGCAGATGGAAGCCGATTAGAGCCGAGAGCAGGATTTTTTGTGCATTTCTTGGTACCCACAGAAACCACAGGTGTCACTTTCCCCTGCATGTGAAATTTGGAATTTTGCTCCTTCGATCGACATTTTTTGGGTTCAAATTTGAGAGACTGAAGGTTCTAATCGTGAATTCCATTCGATTCCTTYGCTTGGACGGGTTTTTTCTTTTGAATTTCACACGTAGGTTTTGATGTGAATGCGAAAAGTTGGGATTTTGACAACTCAAGTATGAAATAGAAGAGCGTATCATCAATAGGACTATGAAATATTTTAAGCCAATTTAAAAATTATTTACTTTTTAAAGAATTAAATTTTGTTTGTTGGCAATTTTTTTGGTTTAATATATATCTTTAAAGAATAAATTTTGCTTTTAACTACTTTTTAGAGTGTTGTTTGATAATAACTTTTTTTATTTTCTAATTAAAAAATAAATTTTGTTTTTGGAGAATATTTCCTTTTTTTTTTTTTAGATTTTGATCCGGATTTAAAAATTGCTTTTAAATTGTACATTAAAATTTAAAAAAAAAATTTAAAAGCGAAATAGCTATTAAAGGACTATTAGGCKYYTTTTTCTTTTTCTTTTTTGGGTTAGTGATCTTAATTTTTTTTAAAGATAGATTACAGAGCAGTAAAAAGATTAGTGAAAAATATAATTTTAGAAAATAAAAATCAATAATTGAAACATTATCTRACATATATTTAATTACTAATGATTAGTATGAATCTGAAGACAATTATTTTCCATCACTTAATTTTGAAAAATAAGTCTTATTAACGAGTTAAAACGGGATGAAATAAATCAATTATCGTTGAGTTAAGCTTRCGTTAACAACGTATGATATGTTTTTTATTTGAATATTCATAAATATATTGTATATGTTCATACAAATTTTATAAACAATTTTGTAATAAGAAAATATTTTATAGCTCAATTGATTAAAGTATATATATATATTTTTTTTATCAAAATATGGGAGTTCAATCCCTCTTTTATATATAAAAGGAATAAAAAATAATTAATTAATAATGATCAATGACATAAACCTCAAGGTGGTTTCAACTTTTCCATGTATATTTAAATTGAAAATTGATATGATTTAATAAAATTATTATTTGTGAGGTTGTCTATTTTGAAAAAAGACACTAATTGGGATTCCTATTTATGGGGAGTTAGGACACKTGTCAAATTTTCTACAATTTATTTGATTTGGTACTTCCACTTTATGGAAAGAGAAGAATCTAATAATTTATATTTTATTACTTAATATCAACTTGATTTGAACAATATTTTATGGGGGTATATAGCTTAGATTTCGTTGACTGAATTAATATAATAAGTTTAATTATTCTAATAATAAGCTGAATTATCCTTAGATTTCAAAATTTTGGCCAATTGCTGGATTTTTTTTTATGCCATTTGTAATTTTCTACCATTTTTAAATCTATATTTTGTTCGAAAGTTATAATTTTGACAAAATTAGGGTTGGTGGCCATTTAGTCAAATATTAGGTATATTCACTTGTTCAAAATGGTTTTCGCAATACGAAAATGAATTTCAAAATGCATATATAAAATTGGAAAATAAAAGGAAAAAAGTCTTGATAAGACAAGGAAGCTTTTAATGTTCTATAATTGACATAAATTGTCAAATTTATTACTTCTAAATTAATAAAAAAAACTTGTTTTTTCTGATGTGAAACAAAAATAATAACAATAATAATGTTATAGGAAGATAAAACGAGATCAGATTGAACGAGCAGAAGACAGGAGTTGGGCTGAAGGAGGAGCGGGCTCACTAGGTAAAGAGACTAAAACCCGACGACCCGAGTTGACCATAGCCAACCATGAGGAGTTCTCGACCCTCCGGCGGAGAACCTAGATGGTTCCCTCTCGACCCCTGTGCAGCCCAATCTGAATTTACCTTGTCTCAATTTTGGATTCGACATTAGGCCCATTACGAAACGCACCAGCTTAGAAGTCCAGATAAGATTCAACTTTGGCAATTCTAAAGGGATTAGGATTCGACTTATACAAATAGAAGCGTAAGCCAAACCGTAGAGGTATGTTCAAAATACCCTACACTCTATACTCAATTACTCTTGATCATAAACTTAATCGGAGTCCGTGTGGCAAGAGCCACACCGGTCTTAGCGTTATTCTGTTTTATAGGTCTCGTCAATCCCTTTATTCTAGAAGATTGATGCGAATTTGGCGGAATTCCAAGAAACCAAATTTCTGCATCAAACAAATAATAATGGTCAACTTGGCACATCTCAATTGGTTAAAGCATGAATTCCTGCTCAGATTGTAGTTTCAATCCATTTTTCACATGTTATTGTACTTAAAAATATTGTAATATAGATTTAATATTTTTCATTTCAGATTTTTTTTTTTAGATTTTTATTTTAACCCAAATTTATAGTACCAATTGGACTTCTCAACGGACCACCTATTGCTGTCGTTGGGCTTATATATGGGCCGAGCTCAGTCTAAATCAATACCAGGGCTATTGTTGTAAATATACTGAAAAAAAAAACCAAAAGACGAGGAARAAAAAAGAAGCTATTTCTACTTATAACATGTTAAAACTTAAAAACTAAAATGGACATTAATCTGAAAATTTGAAGGGCAAAAGTGAGACTTAAACCTCGTAATAATGACTTATTTCCACGTGTTCTACTTTTTTTTGGATAAAATCTGGCAAATTTAAGAAATATATATTTTGGAATATGTAAAATCTTAAGACATTTTTCCAAAACGCATCAACTATCGGATTAAGTTATCTTGGGGGGCCCCCATTGGCCCATTTCGAGAAAGTGTTTGGGCTCAAATGGGACAAGTCCATGATCCGGGCCCATTTTGTCATTTGCTTGCCGAAATATTTTTGTGTGTGTGAATATATATTCTTTCTTTACGACGTTTTTTCTAATTTAATCCCTATCACTTAAAAATTATAATTTCAATCTCTAATATTTAAATATTCTTCAATTATACCTTCACGAATTGACTAATGATAAACTTATCTAGCGCTATAGTTAGTGATTTGGTAGAAAATTAGATGATGAATTAAACTATCTCAAAGACAAAATCAAAATATCTATTTTATTTATAAATTTTGAAGAGAAATAATATAAACTTGCCTCTTTTATGTGACCTAATTTCTTATCTAAATATATGTCAGTATACTTAGGATCCTGTCATATAAGTTTATCATCCATGCATGGTAATATTTACTATTTTTAATTAAAATATAAGAGACTTAATTGAAAAAAAATTTAATTAAAATATAAGAGACTTAATTGAAAAAAAAACTAAGGACTAAATAATAATATTTATAGATTTTTTTWAATTAATTTTGAAAATAAGAACAAAGGAAAAATTGAAAATGGAGAGTTTGGGAGTATTATTTTATTTTGTATGGAGTGTACGAAAACGAATCCCAAGACAAGAAGCAACGTGCTTCCTAAACGGTGTCGTGTCATGCAGCTTTCTTTTGGAAAATAAATTGGGAAGACGATGGCGTCATCCACGTGACTCTGATTTCTTTTGGGATCAAAGCCAGCGGATCGGTGCTGGTGCACCAAATTCCATTTTTTTTTCAAAAGAGAAAAAAAAAACATTGAAATTAATTCTCAGTTATTTTTCTCAACCACACAACCCAAAAATACCGACTTTAGCGTGTTCTCTACTTCCAAATATTCGATACCTAAAAAAAAATATATTATATATATATACTATTTGGAAATATATGGTTTATGTCTTGTTTTCTTGTTTGAAAATTTGGGTTTATTTATTTGAGTATTTTAATTATCTAAAATATCTGTTTAAATTTTAAAATGTTAAAGTTTAATTTATTTTGATTTTTTTAAATATCTACTTTTGCGTAAGAAAAGCAAACTTGACACTAGAATATCTAGACCTAACGTTAAAGCATCTAACATAATTAAAACAATAGTACCATAAAAGTAATCTTCTATATTCTCAAAAGCTTGCCAACTAATCACATATTATTAGAAGAAAAAAAAAGTGAAGATAAATGTGAATTCGAGCATCCAAAACCTCTGACATTACAACAATTTGATTTTAAACTTTATTGAACTTAGCTACGAGTGGCTCAGKTTCATATCAAGTCGAAACATATGTAAAAGTCTAGATAAACATTGAGGGTCAATTGATTATGGTACTAGAAAATTCTTTGACTAAAAATAATAAATTGGAATCTCTATACCATCATTTCTTGAACCCAATAACTCAAAAAGAAAAAAGAAACAAACAAAACTAATTAATTGGAAGATATGAATTTCACCGCTTAATCTTAGAAAAAAGAAATCATAAATAAATAATTTGAAATCAAGCCTAGGTAGTTTATTTAGTAGCAAATCATACATTTTGAGTTTTTAAAATAGTTTTAAATGTCGAAGTGGTTTAACTTGATCCAATCCAAAATTTGACTTTTCACATAAATATATGATGTCACACTTGGTTAGTATATGTTATAATAAGATGTTGTGGGTATAGGTTGAAGCTGAGGTGATCGTACATGAACCAAGTTGAACTCTAGATCTGTTGAGTTGGTAGTTTATCGACGCTCAGTAATGTACACTCTAAGCTTAAATTCGAATTGGTGTCAAGCCAAACTTAATAAAGTGCGTACTTTTCATAAAGTGATATTCTGTCTTTTACAAGAGAGTATTGGAAAGTGTATCATTACAATTATAGTATTCATACTTGTTATTCAACGGATATTCTACCAGTACGTAGATCATCTACTAACAAAATCGACGTTCTGTTAACTATCAACAAATATTATACGTCATAATTATCTTCCTTAACACTATAAAAAAAATTATAACTATAAAAACATATATTATCTTCCTTGGAACTAAATAAATAAAGATATATATATATATATATAACTAACAAAAACACATAATATAAGTTAGAGTTTTGAAATATTTACACAAATAACATGAAATAAATATGTATTCTTATATGGTGTAGAAAAGTTGTGAAATTTTATAAAAGTAGAATTGACATTTTTAAAAAATGGCATGTATGAAGTGGCAGACATGCCATGATTTGAAATTTGTTTGTCAGCTATGTTTTGTAAAATATGTTGTTAGCATCTAACAAATAC